GATGTGCATGTACAGTACCTAACATTAAATGATACTCCAGATTATAAATTACAAGTAATTAAGTCAGATATTTATTTCTCATACAACACTGTATCTCTTACAAGTACATGTAAGGTACATTTAATCTGTCTGTACTGAATGTGCTTTCAGCCTGACAATGTTATTCCCATGTTGCATACATGTGTCTTACTACAATTTATGTTCAAGGCAATCCTGAGGTATATCATGAGAGTATGGGGAAAGGCTCAAAGCCAAGGGTCACGTACATGTACAGGATACGTGTAGTGTAAGGCATTTTCCCCTCTCTTCCAGGCAACTTCACAAGCTGTAACAGGAGAACATGAATCACTGGTTCTGACTTTATGTTGCTGCACCGCTGCAAAAACTATTTCAACTACACGCGCAAAGGACGTGCACAAATTCACTGAGCTCTGTGCTATAGGAGACAGAAATGTGAAGCTTATTATACTTTACGTTGTCATGAAAGACCCCCACGCTTTTGCCATGTCACGTCTGAACGAGCCCTTACTATTGTACAAAATGCTGTATAATATTTGTAACAATATTAACCATGATTATAATGAAAATGATAGTGTGCATGTTCACATTTTTTACGAGCATTTACCTGAGCAATTATGTCTAACGGTAGCTATCTAAACAGACATAGGCTACAAGATGGTCTCAATCATGCTTCACTGGTCATGAAATATAATCGGGTTTGGACTTAGGAGTGGATTCATCAGACCAAAGGAATATGGTTAAACCATTGGCTTTTAAATACTTGACATGTAACACTACAGTACATATGTACTCTGTACATGTACATGTACGGTGTAAAGTACCGGTATAGTTGTATACACGTAGGTACTAAAAGATTACCCAGCAGTACCTCCTCTCAAAGTACTTGAATGGTTCCCTCTGATATTGAACTATAAACTTCTGTATAAACAGTTTTCAAGTTTATTATAGACCTTCTTTATATGCTCAGAGACATTAATGTGTTAACTTTTTCCATTTTACATTCATGTATATGGCACCCTGAGATAATGTGGTCAAGGTGATACATATTACACACTTGGGAAGGAAATTAGCTTGTGAACTCTGTACTATGTAAACATGATTGGAGTTGTAAATACATACATGTAGATACTTTGGTGTCATGTAAAGTTTACTTTGCCGCTAAATAGAAGTCTCATATATGAAAAGTCATGGATTTCCTAGTAGATTTACATTCTCAAGCAACGTCAGACTTTGATTTTTGTTCCCCTTCATTTTCTCAATAACATCAGGAGTACATTAGTACATTAAGTAATAGCAGCAGTATGTCACATGGGCCAATGATTTAATTAAGTACAATTCTGTCATTTTCTACCTTAAATACGAAAGAGGCGCATACATGTACATGTATATCTATATTCCAATGATAGTAGTACATTGATAAATAAAGCTGATTTGAAACTGAACTTGACATACATATTCTACATAGCTTGGTGTATGTGACATACAGTACACACAGGGTATTCTACCATAGCTTGAACCCAATAAATATCGGGCTGAGCCTGAGATCATTAAAATGAGGGAAGTCTTCATTTGCAATACCACCTCCGATGAATATGTATACTCTGATTTTTCAGCATGAATGTAAAGCAGCACAAGTACCGTAATGGTAATAATGAAACCTATCATTTAGCATAAGATCAAGTCAAAACTACATCTTTTATTCTTCTCTAACACTTATTTAAAATACATGTATCCAGAGTGCCTGTATTAGTCCAGGTGCATATATACTAAATTTTTAAAGGGCTGACTCACATTATCAACATTTTCAATATTAACTGGAAAAAATATGTTTACTATGATATGTGTTCAATTTTGTTACGATATACACATGTGATTTCATTATACTAAAGCTCAGTCCTGCAAATTTAATTTTATATTTTTTCTAATAAAAGTTTGATTTACTTCTGGCTATTCCTATATTGCATCACACATGTAGTATTACATTTATTTTGTATAGGTTATATTTTTTATCTGTAAAATGAAGATGCATCAGTTTGTAGTGGTAGTAAAACTAGCAATAATGTTGTATATTTCTCAATAAAAAAACACCTTAACAATTCAATTCAATTAAGATAGTCTGAGCTGCAACAACTGTGGTATATAGTCAAATTGAAGAAATGAATTAGTAGACATTGAATATCTCACAAATAATTAAACATTGAATAAATGAAAACAAATAAACATTAAATATAATATTAATTTCTTTATTAAAAATATTTTTTTGAATTTAGTACTACATGTATAAGACAAACAAGAGAGGAAGAATTATCACCAAATCATGGATGTAGCATTTATTTAAAATTATTGCTCTGACATACCAATAAAGAGCTGTGTGTGTGGGGGGGGGGGGGAGAAAGAATTGAGAACCCCTGCCCATAACATGTTTGGATATATCACTTTCTTGAAGGTAGTTAAGCTCCTCCAAACATAATCATCATCATCAAGAGCAACAGGTACAACGAAAGAACAGAACAAAATGCCCTTTAATGAATAACGAAAAAAATAAGTGTTGGCTTCCATTAAAACTCACCCATTTCACTTTATTTGTATCCCCATGACCATTAGCAAGTCATTTTGGCCAAGTTGGAAAATTCTTTAGAAACTCTGCTTGATATAAATAATCCATTTCACTTGAAGTGCTTACAGTTATGGCACAGAGTCCTTGTTTGAACAAGGGTCCGCATGTGAGAATGGATAAAAACCAGTGCAAGAGTGAACCATGATATGTCTTTCTAGACGTCATGTTAGAGATACATGTATAGGCAGGGGGAAGTCCTCTTTCTCTCTTGAAACTGAGGAGTGGAATACCATGCTTGATTGCTCTCCAGACTGAACAAAGCAAATTGCATTGTTTGAGGGACACACCCACAATTCAAACCAACCAGCGCTATTCAGTTTAGGAATCAGTGCTCTCCACTTTTTTATTTTTTTAATCTGTCTCTCCGTCAGTCCTTTTTGCTTTTCTGTTTCTTTGCATGTCATTTGCTCTATTTGTTTTGCTGGGATGGGCCCAAAGTAACTACGTAAATCATTCTTTTATATGAGGTGTTGACCAAATATAATGGGTAGTTTTTAAGAAAAACAAAATACTTCCTCTTGGATGAACATATTTACAATATATATGACAAAGGGAGAGTCTCGTGTCAACTCTTTATTATTTTCATTGTTTTTTAAAAATTCTTTCTTGGGGGGGGGGGGGTAAAATTTGCAAAAGCTAAAAATTCTATCATAAAATAATTCTTATAATTTAAGGATCATATTATATGTCCATGTAATTTCCTGTTGAGCCTTTTCTGTATAATATTTTTAAAATACTAGTTTTGTAAGATTTAATTAGTAAATTGTGAATTGATGAGAAATTTCTTTGGGCATTTAAAATTATAACTTACAGTCAAAACATTATGTCAAAACATTTTTCTGTAGTAAAAAACACACAAATAAAACAGCATAAGTATGAAATATTATATTTGACATTTTAGGAAGCCAAATTTGATTTTGTTATTGTTATTTACTATGTCAGGGATACCCTGTGATCCATAATAAATAATTAATTCATAGAGTATACAGGTAACTTTATCATCAGGGAGAGGTTTTACCATACATGATTAGACTGGTCTACAAGTGTTTCATTATCAAGATATGAGAATGGTATGGACTGAGCTATTTCACTTTATAAAATAAGCCCCTAAAAGGACCATTCACCCCCCCCCCCCCCTACAAAAAAAGAAGACAGAAATGCCGAAATGGAATTAACTCTGAGAAAAGCACTGCACATTTATACAGTGCGTCCCAGAAAAAACGAAACCGAGAAGTATCGATGTTTTATCATAACTTAATCACAACTATAATTAATGAATGATGCATATTTGAAAAGCTTAGAGTCTCCTCTTTCATGTGATGCTACTCAGATGATGCATATTTCACGCATGAGTGATTAAAAGCAATTTGAAGGAAGTAAACCAAAAAGACATTTGGCGGGCGGTATCTGAATTTCGAAGAAAAATTCACATTTCTAGAAAGTTGAGTTTCTGCCCTTTCATATGACACCTTTATCAGGAAAAATGAGCGAGGAATGACAAAGTTCTGTTTGTTTAAAGTAGTGCTTTCATTTCCATAATTTTATTAAACGAATTCGTTTTCACTGGCAGCCCGCCGTATCAATAAACGAAATTAACAAAAGACTTAACTCCGTTTCGTTGACAATCAGCCGTAGACGAGAGTCTTCATGCACGGCTGATTGTCAACGAAACGGAGTTAAGTCTTTTGTCAAATCTGCTTTGACATTTTGCTGCTTTGTAATTTTTGCTACGGCAGGCACCCACTTTAAACAAACAGAACTTTGTTATTCCTCGCTCATTTTTCCTGATTGAGGTGTCATATGAAAGGGCAGAAACTCAACTTTCTAGAAATGTGAATTTTTCTTCGAAATTCAGATACCGCCCGCCAAATGTCTTTTTGGTTTCCTTCCTTTAAATTGCTTTTAATCACTCATGCGTGAAATATGCATCATCTGAGTAGCATCAACTGAAAGAGGAGACTCTAAGCTTTCCAAATATGTATCATTCATTAATCATGGTTGTGATTAAGTTATGATAAAACATCGATACTTCTCGGTTTCGTTTTTTCTGGGACGCACTGTATAGTGTAAGCGCATGTGGTGAGCGTGTGAACTACATTTACATACATGTACATGTAGTTTACTCTGTTCTTCTCAAGTGGTTTTTACCTAAGTTCAATTATGTACATTGTATGTACATTGTAGTGCATTCAAATGTGCAATACCTCTTAGCAAAAGCAATGTCTGTAAAAAAATGTTTTGAAGTTAATATACCAATATGGACCATAAACAGACAGGGCAAATTATTTCTGGTTCTAAGTCCCCTGTAACTTTGATAATCCATCATATACATATCTGTTTTTTTCTTCTATTCCTTGTTTAGTGAACTGTATTGACCGTCACAAGGAGGCTTCCCCCGATCGGGTAGCCTTGATATGGGAGAAAGATGAGCCTAATCAGGAGGAGAGGATCACCTACAAGTAAGTCTCCTCATGTCTTCCGCACTACTACTGCAGCAATATGTGCCAATAGTTTCACAGATGCCAAGGACACAGATATTTTCATGAGTTGTTCTATATAAACACAGGCTACTTTTTAAGTGTGAAATACATGTACATGGGGTACATAAACATTGTCAGCTCATTTTTGTGTTTTGTACGTTCACGACCCTGCAGCATTTCTCAAAGTTTGCCAGAATAGAACACTTTTGTGAATACCAGCTACAATAACAGAATTACATGTATATTGAATGAGGCACATGTAGCTTTTTTGTTCATCTCTATGGATGTCATATGATTTTGGTATACCATATACTCAGTGATACACATTTCATTTTTGGGGAATTATTTATGCCCTTTTGGAAATACCAGTGTATACAACAACAGAACTACAGTAAACATGAAGCTTATATGTTGGATGTCATGTGACTTTGGTATATTTATATCCCGTAATACATATTTCCACAGACTCCTGCCCATTCACCGGATTTATTGAATAGGTTATTGGATGCTAGTAATAAGAGCCACATCATGAATTTACATGTATACTTTCAAGTGATTCTACATTGTAAAATACATTTTGTTCACAAAAGTGAGAAGCGAGAAAAAATGAATGGTAACAGTTGCTTAGACAATCTGTTATATTCTTTTCTTTCTTAGAGTAATTCCACTGGAGTTTGAATAGAATGACTATAGTTTTGTCCTTAATAATAAATATTTATTAATTTTTTCAGTGACGTTATTTTCTTACATTTTAATAACAGATTACTACATAATGCAATTGATTTCATGGTCTTGCCTAATTTTTTTCTTCTTTTCTATTAAATTCAAGGCATTTTATTCACTCATTGTAGCCAAAGGCTAAATTACAAATGAATTTACAAAATTCAAAACATTAAAAACATCATACAAATTAGGAAGAATCATACATAATATTATAGAAATACATATAAATACAAATGAAAGGAACTATACATATATGTATAATGATAACATCTTACAAATATTGCTTACAAACAAAAACAATTTTGGAATTAAAATTTAAATATCATCCACTTTCCATCAAAATTTAAAGGCTTATATAAAGTAACTTGAGTGGTATCTGATTGTAAGAATAATAATAAATGATTATTTTTCATTAAGTTTAATTAAAGGAGTCTAGAAATATGAGTTTTCTATTAAATATACAGATAAAGGTATAATCAAAAGGAAGTAAGAAACAAACATGTCATATAAAATTGATCTGAGGAATAAACATGAAATCATTCAAGTTGTTCCTTGATGTCTACTATAACATCTGATCTGGTGCGAACTAAAATGAAGTGCAGTGCAATGAAAACTGAAATAATGTTCACTTTTACAGAGCTAGTCAGAGGGGCAACCTTCATACATATGTAGGTGCACACACAAATCTAAATGTCAAATAGTACTTTTAATGAAGAGTTTTTGTATTGATTCAGGACCATTATGAAAACAATTGTGATGCACATACATGTAGTTTGCTGATAAGCCTATCAGGCTATCAAATATTTACTGTATTAGAGAAGAAAAAAAAATGTTTTCTTCCAAATTGTTAGAAATGAACTTTACAATAACTTACCGCTGTTTCAAAGAAACTGATTACTGTTCAGTCTCTGCACTGTATTGTTCTGCTTGCACTCCCATGTCTTCACTTCTAACAACAGGATAGCAACATGCTATATCATTCCATGTGGCTTCTAAGCAGTCACGTTTCCCCCTTGCTCCTGGTTGAATAATAGTTTGCCTGAATTCAACCCCTCACACTACTCGTTCCTAATTCTATCAGTTCTCAATGTGCATTCCGACAGTATGGAAAACATCTTTTATGGTGTGTGCTTTGCTCAGAACCTCTTTTGAATGAACAAAAAATGAAAAATTGCCCAATAGCTGGTGGTCTATTATTCAGAATATGAGGTTCAGTAAGCATGCACAAATCATCAAACCACAACTTCACATTGGAACTTCCAAAAGGCTTCCAAATACCCGACTTGTATGCTGCCTAAATTGAAAAGGCAAAATCTCTGGCCTGCTACCCCACCAAGTACATTTGTCATGCTTCATTGATGTTATGTTATGCTCAAAATTCTTGATAAAGTGTTTGTGCACATGTATATCACACTGTAGATATGCTCATATCAAACGATTGTCGATATGTCCACATGATTATTGTATATTGTACATAAATACGTACCTTAAGATGAAACCCTGAAAAGTATTGAAATTAAACATACGAAATATTGAAGACAAATTCTATTTTAATCCATTTAGACACTATTTCAATAAAATTAATATGATGTCAGTACAACATGATTTTTTTTCCACCAAACAGACAAAATCAAAAAGTTTCATGAGTATACAGAAAACATATTTGAGTACCGGTAAAAGTTTCGTATTTACAAGAAAGGTATTAACAAGAAATTACTTTCTATTTTTATATTGTTATAACCATTTGAAATGGCATGTGGTACATATACATTTGTAGATATCATTCCAAGGCATGCTTGTGTAAAATAGACATTCGCTACTAGTAAAACTGTGACTGAACTGAATATGTATATTATGTTTTATGTAATACAATCAATATAAATTAAGATTAGAAAAGTATTTACATCTGATATTTGCATAATTATATTTCTCTCTTTACAGGCAACTGTATGAGATGACCAATCAACTTGCCAACTCACTACGTCGTCAAGGTGTAAAGCGAGGTGATCGAGTCGCTATCTACATGCCTGTTTCTCCTCATACAGTAGCTGCTATGTTAGCATGTGCAAGGATTGGGGCCATTCACAGGTAGATTAGAAACATATAGAGCAGGGCATCATATCATGAAACTGGCATTTATAAGTAGAGTTTACCAACATCCTATTGAAACTAGTGCTGTTAGCGAACTTGTACTTACATGTGTGAATGACGGTTTTGTCCAGGGTTCCACTTTTTTTTTTAAAGGGATCCTGGTGGAAAATTTGAAGGCCTCTGTGTATGACCCTCCCCCCCCCCCCTCCCCTGTTTAAATTTTAGATTTTAGGGGTAACCTACATGTATATACGTAAGTGTTGATCCCTGCATAAAGCCTTTTTGTTTCTATTTCAGTTTTCTCATATTTTTCATTTCTGATATTTATTTTCTATCGTTAGAAATGCCAATTTTTATGCTTTCATCTGTTTCAAAGAATCCATAAGTTTGTCTTGGATTGATTTATGATTTATTATTTGATTGTTTTTCTTTTTCAATACAGGTGTAAATTGAGGAACTTGAAAAATCACTTCCTTTTCTATTCAACACAATCCAAAAATTGAATTTAGAAGCATTTTTAAAATCATCTTTGTCATAATGCAATTTTGAAATTAAACTTGTTTTATTGGCATACCTTGCCATCTATATTCCCTTCCTAAATTAAAGTTAGGGATAATTGGTTCTTGTAGCAGTGTACACTTTACTTTCAATTTTCAATTCTGATCTTACATTATAGCTACAAATGTATACTAAGGGCCATCATGATGTAGACTACATGTAACATCCAGGGGCCGTATTCTGAATCAATGTTATCTTGTATGTTCCGCAGATTTTTCTTTGAACTTTACACAAGTGCACCCAGATTTGTGCAGACATTAACCATTGACTTGTCCTAAGTTTGATTTGTTATGTCAATCAATGTTGTTTAGCTAACATTAAAGATAATATCATGTTTAAGAACACCACCCTAACCTTCTTTCATTTCTCACAAGTAGAGCTCATAGCACAGTTTTCTGTTTGTTATATATATAACCTTGATGAATTATGTGAATTCTTTGAAAATGTCATGAAGCAAGACAATAGGAAAATAGTCAATATTTTTTAATATTCTCTCTCTCTCTCCCTCTCTCTCTCTGTGTCTCTCTCTGTCTCTGTCTCTGTCTCTCTTTCTCTCTCTCTCTCTTTCTCTCTCTTTCTCTCTCTTTCTCTCTCTCCTACAGTGTTGTTTTTGCAGGGTTCAGTGCTGAAGCCTTGGCTAGCAGAATCATTGATGGTAAGAATTTAAGCACAAACAGGACAACCATTTCAGACACTCTTTTGGACACAAAGAAATCAGTCTACCAAAAGTATGATAATGCGACAAAACAAACTGGCCTTGAAATTAGTACACAAGCTTAATTCAATTGAATTCAGAAAAATAAATGCGAGTAGAACGAAAAAGAGAACTAATCTGAGGTATTGATGGTAAAGGGTGCATGGTTGATGGTTAACACTATGCAGCGTATACAACCAACCGCATTTGGTTTGGAAGCAGCAGCACAATTTATACAAACTATATTTGTCATCTTTAATTCTATTAAAGGTAAAGACCAGTATTGGAAACGCCCCAATTTCAAAAAATGAAATGCAAGCTCTTATTACCAATCATGTGAAGGAATATGTTTTGAATAATACATGATGATAAAAATGTTGATGGGAAACCGCCTACTAATTGATATATTTGGTAAATTAGTGTATCTCTTGCCTGTTGAGAGATACAAATGCACGTGTCATGCACGTGTGTGTAGTCCCATATACATCTTTCTGTGTACAGTGATTCTAACTTTATGAAGACTTGGCCAAATTTCTTATCATTTTGATGATTCCAGAACCTTGCAGTACATCTATGCTAGATGATCAACCTTTTCTGATCGATTTCACAATGTTTCTTTCACAATGCAATCGCATTTAAGGGTCGATTTTGCATTTTTACTCCTCAATTGCATTGTTAATAGTTGTTTCTCTTATCTTCTCCTCATTTCTAGTGGAGTTATAGTACAAAGCAATGTTTCATTCTACCTTTCAAATTAAATTAATATACTGAATTAAACCAGGCCTATAGTTGCCATGGTTCTTAAAAACAATAGCTCCATGATTAATTTCCAACATTTACTGAATTCCAGACTTCAACCATGGACCAAACACTACACCTAACTCTAACTCATGAACCTAATCTAAATTAAAGCCCATTCACAACTCCAATCATTTAGTTTTTATCAAGTTGAGGCCCAGAACAAATGTCTGGTCACCCAATGAGCCCCACATCAAACCAAGACTTCAAAATCCTTTGGTTTTTATCCAGCTGGTGTAGAGACTGTTATGACCACTGACCAGGCTGTGAGAGGAGGAAAGGTCATCGGTCTGAAGGCTACTGTAGACAAAGCCATGGAGCAGTGTCCGAAGGTCAAGCGAGTCTTTGTGTCCAAGAGGACTGGAGCTGACATCCCCATGTATGATAGAGATATACCCATGGAGGAGGTGAGATGTGAAGGAGACCACTCTAGGGGGGCGTTTCACAAAGCCTTTTTTTCAATGACAAATGACCAAAATCAGTGACAAATCTGCTAATAACCAAACAGAAGCAAGGATCTCAGTAGCTTATAACAAAAACTGTCATTTGTCACTGATGAAAATTTTTGTGAAATGCCCCCCCCCCCCCCCCAAGAGAGAAAAAGAAAAAGAAAGTAGAGGGATGTCATGAATCCTATCCTACATATCGTTAGATTTTAAATGAGCTTGATACTCCTACTACTGTATTATCATCATTTCATCTTTCTTTACAATTTGATTACTAATATGTGGTTTTCATGTTATTGAAATTGAGTATGATATAACACTGTTTTCAAAGTAATTGCAAGTACTTACAAAAGATGTTTCTACATACGCGTTGTAGTCTTCAAATATATATATATAAAAATGCCAACATGATCTGATGGCTTTAATTTTGTATATTTATTGTTATATTTATGCAATCATAGGAGAAAAAACAAACTGTTTTACAGTCCTCAATTATTCACAGTAGGTTTCTTTTTGTAAGTTTCTGAAGCCCACTGCCTTTTGTTCAGATGTCATAACAGTTTGTGAACTTGTATATTTAAAGCTACTATGTCCCATTTGCAGGCCAAAAAAATGAAAAAATTAAATTCCAACTGCATTTGAAAGATAATACTAATTTAGAACTTCCCTAAAAAAGGTGGGGCTTGAAAATGTCTTCAAGTGGGAAAATAACGACTATTAGTTGACAAATCGACTTTAGGGCTATAGAGCCCAAAAGTAATAGTCTTGATTTTCAGACAATTGTACCGAATGGTCATACGTTTTATGCTGCACAAAGATTCAATCAGTTTAATCTTGGCCATCACAAGAAGTGGGTTATTGATGTAGACAAATGCTCATGTACCCTTTACAACTCTTTTCATGTATGTTATTACCAAAGAAGAAAAAAGCCAGTCAGTCACCTAATAGTGTCTGACAGTGAAGTCTAGCAAGTAAACGGGTCTCCTTGCATAATTTGAATATGAGGACACTGCTAACGTTTAAATTTCACAGATAGGACATACATGACATATTCATAATTCCTGCAAAGTTCTACATAATTTGAGGTTGGCTGCAAAAGGGACATAGTACCTTTAATGAGTCATCTGTTATCACATTTGGTTCTTGTTATATCTTTCAGGCTATGGCACAAGAATCAACAGAATGTGAACCAGAAGTGTTGGACAGTGAGGATCTTCTCTTCATGCTTTATACCTCAGGGTCTACAGGGTCTCCTAAAGGTCTCGCTCATTCACAAGCTGGTTACCTTCTCTATGCCAGTCTAACTCACAAGGTACAATGTAGATACAAAGACCAAGATCTACTAAAGGTCTCTCCCATTCTCAAGCTGGTTACCTTCTCTATGCCAGTCTAACTCACAAGGTACAATGTAGATACATGTATAAAGAGCAAGGTCTCCTTAAGGTCTCGCTCATTCACAAGCTGGTTACCTTCTCTATGCCAGTCTAACTCACAAGGTACAATGTAGATACAAAGACCAAGATCTACTAAAGGTCTCTCCCATTCTCAAGCTGGTTACCTTCTCTATGCCAGTCTAACTCACAAAGTACAATGTAGATACAAAGACCAAGATCTACTAAAGGTCTCGCTCATTCTCAAGCTGGTTACCTTCTCTATGCCAGTCTAACTCACAAGGTACAATGTAGATACAAAGACCAAGATCTACTAAAGGTCTCGCTCATTCTCAAGCTGGTTACCTTCTCTATGCCAGTCTAACTCACAAGGTACAATGTAGATACAAAGACCAAGATCTACTAAAGGTCTCTCCCATTCTCAAGCTGGTTACCTTCTCTATGCCAGTCTAACTCACAAGGTACAATGTAGATACATGTATAAAGAGCAAGGTCTCCTTAAGGTCTCGCTCATTCACAAGCTGGTTACCTTCTCTATGCCAGTCTAACTCACAAGGTACAATGTAGATACAAAGACCAAGATCTACTAAAGGTCTCTCCCATTCTCAAGCTGGTTACCTTCTCTATGCCAGTCTAACTCACAAAGTACAATGTAGATACAAAGACCAAGATCTACTAAAGGTCTCGCTCATTCTCAAGCTGGTTACCTTCTCTATGCCAGTCTAACTCACAAGGTACAATGTAGATACAAAGACCAAGATCTACTAAAGGTCTCGCTCATTCTCAAGCTGGTTACCTTCTCTATGCCAGTCTAACTCACAAGGTACAATGTAGATACAAAGACCAAGTTCTACTAAAGGTCTCGCCCATTCTCAAGCCGGTTACCTTCTCTATGCCAGTCTAACTCACAAGGTACAATGTAGATACAAAGACCAAGATCTACTAAAGGTCTCTCCCATTCTCAAGCTGTTTACCTTCTCTATGCCAGTCTAACTCACAAGGTACAATGTAAAAATCAAGATCTCCTAAAGGTCTCGCTCATTCTCAAGCTGGTTACCTTCTCTATGCCAGTCTAACTCACAAGGTACAATGTAAAGATCAAGATCTACTAAAGGTCTCTCCCATTCTCAAACTTGATGATATATTCTCTAGATTTCTAATTGTTTAATTCTTTGAAAAACTGCCATATACAATGTCATTGCTGCATTCTTGCACAGGCATATGCCACAATATCTAATGATGATGGTAATATTTTGTATTCATTCAGCATTTAATAATGCATCCACAGTGTATTAAACGATTTTCGTATACATTAGTCTGACTATAATACACTCTTAATACCTGCAGTGTGATATTGTTCAATTCATTAGGTCTACTGTGGCAAAATCCGTCTCGGATGCACATGCATGATATCATTTCAAAGATTAAACCATTTTCCTTTATAGTGGCTTTTATTATAAACTGAGCTGGGAAGAGATTCTTTTCATTGAAAACCTGATTGTGCTCCATTTGTGACCTGTGAACTGTGATTGATTACTGGTTTTTGTGTCCTACATGTTCTATTTAGTATGTGCAGTCTCCCATAGGGGTAAGGGGAATACGTGATTGAAAACAGGAACTAGTACAGATAATAACCCGTTTTCTATGGGTGCAAGTCTAGGAGAATAAGAGGAAGTTAATGTCAAAGGTTTGACTTTGATGTTTTTGCCACGTGTAATGCAGCATAGTTAATACCTAGACATGAAATCTTATTAAAGCAAAGCTACATTTGAAAAGGAATGAAAATAATTGTTAAAAATGCATGTTATGGCCTCTAGAATTTTTTGAAATATAATACTAGTAAGCACAGGCTGTAAAGATATCCTTATTTTCTTAAAATCTATATATTGTATATAAATCAGTATATCAGTCTATTTCAACTAACTTTTCGTCTCCTTTGAGTCCCTCCCTCTTTCTTCCCCCCCCCCTTCCCCTTTGAACAATCTCTCTCTTTCTTTCTCTCTCTCTCCCTCTCTGTATATATATATATACATATCTGTTTGTCTTTCTCTCTCTCTCTGTCTCTCTCTCTCTTATTCTTTTGGTAGGATTTGTCTTCTGTTTTTCACATGTATCATTCTCTCTTTTCATGTTGACTGTATCTTTTCCCTTACACTTTGTTATGCTCTATTTGTTCCCTAGTTTGTATTTGACTATCAGCCTGGTGATGTCTATGCGTGTGTTGCAGATGTAGGCTGGATTACTGGACACAGCTATGTCGTATATGGTCCTCTCAGTAATGGCGCCACAACCGTGTTGTTTGAAAGCATTCCCACCTACCCTGATCCAGGTACCTGATCCTAGTAACATACATTTTTAAGCCACAGCCTCCATATAATTTCAACATTTGAAGTTTTTAAAAAGTTGTCATGTGATGCTGAAGTTTTATGCTAAAGTTCATCTCATTCCAATTCTGCCAAGTGCCCGGACATTTTTTCCCTATTTCCTCCACATTCCAATATTTAAAAAAAAGAAAAGATGTAGTTTTAATTAGTTTTATCTAGAATATGCATACACGATGGTACATGTATTGAAAGGGAATTTATATAAAGCTTTAAACACGTTACAAGAGTCCTATCTCGCACCCCTGGGCAACGTGTCTAACACGGCCGGTTGAAGCAACCACTCCGAAGATCAAGATTTTAAATTAATCTTGATCTAAGGAGACACGAACGAACGAACACCCCTATAATCCGTTCTCTTGCTTAATGTGGGAAATCTTGCATAGTCATAAGCATTGACAAGTTTGTGCATTTGTAGATAAATACAATTGGCAAAGAAAAATCGTTTCTATGCCTGTGTCAAACTCCATTTCACATAATATGATGATTTGCAATGTAAAGTGCCACAAATAAGAATGAAACATAAGGTTCCATATTGCATACACCCCCCTCAAAATAAATGAAAGAAAGAAATAAAGAAGGAAAGAAACAAACAAATGTGTATTCAACGTTTCGATGCCCACAAACATTTCAATGTAGGAGGTCAAATCAAAACTTAGTGTAACCCTGTAAATGTTTTTGTTTTTGTTTTCCTTTTTGCAGGAAGATATTGGGAGATGGTAGAGAGGCTAAAGATCAACCAGATTTATGTAGCCCCTACAGCCGTGAGGTTGCTACTCAAATCAGGAGACTCTTATGTGACAAAGTATGACAGATCTACATTGAGAACACTGGGATGTGGTAAGATTTTTGTTTGTTTCTTCTTCATAATTGTTCATTCTTTGTGAGGTGATGAAAAGGACACTAATATCTAGATCAGTTATGTAGCTGGAATTTGTTGATTTTTTAGTTTTTATAATGATGAGGAAGCAATAATAAATGGCATCACATAGGGTTGTTAATGAGAAATGAGTAATGATGGAGAAGCACATTATTATGACAAATGAAATTAAGAAAGACTACTGAAGACATCAGTGATGATGTTAGTTATATCAATGATAATTAATGTTGATTGTATGTTCAAGAAGAATATATTCATGTAATGATGATTAATATTTGTACAAGATGGTATTATTATGAAATCAGTAGATATGGGGGCATGAAGATGGTATGAATTCAGGAAAATCAAAAATCCATCTTCTTTTTTTTGTCTGAAGTTGGTGAGCCACTGAACCACGAGGCATGGGATTGGTACAACAATGTTGTTGGAGAAGGACGTTGCTCACTAGCTGATACATGGTGGCAGACAGGTTCGTTTCCTGCAACATTTTGTCGGATGAGAGGCTGAAGGGCATGAACTCAATGTACAAGTATTTATGCATACTGGGTCTCGGCAGTTGATTTGTTCATATCTTGTGAGAAGCTGGCGTTTCACTGATTTGAAGCAATGTGTTAATATTGTATGTACGTAGTCTATTGCTCTATAATGAACTCACACAAAGAGACATACTATTTTTATTTTATTTTTTTAATTTTTTTTGGGGGAGGGGAGTTTTCTTGTGGCTTTGCAGTCTTTATAGTTTTTTTTAATGGGTAAAACAGATTAACCTTTGATTACTTTTGGAAACATATTATTCCAATCATAAGAATGCTATACACAATTTATAAATCTGTATATGTAAGTACATATTCTATTATTATACAGAAACCGGTGGTATATGTATCACGCCACGCCCATCTGCTCCCAATGCTGAAATAACAGGTGGTCCTATGCGCCCCTTCTTTGGAATCGAACCCGCTCTCCTTGATGAAAAGGTACTTGAATAGGTTATCCTTTACTTAACAATTCATTAGTATGATCTCTTCTTTGGTGATCTATCAAACATACTTCCCAGAATTGCTCATCGATTTGCTTCCAGTTAAACATATTAATCCTTCTGTGTTCATATTTTTTAGATTATTAGATTCTTACTCTGTGATACAATCGATACAAATCAGGAGATGAAATTTGTATGCCTTTTGTCTGTATGAAGTATACACATGTTCTTGAATTCTCCTGTTCATGTCATGCAACTTCTTAAAAAATAATCTACCGTAAGTATCCTGATTATCTTGTATAAAAACATTTCCTCTCTTAACCAAAGCAATGAAGAATATCACTTTCTGAAATGTTATGAAGATAGATTTATTTGTCAAGGCAAGTTAGTATGGGTAAGATTGTCAAAATCCAGAAAAAGCTGGCCAAAAAGCATAGCTTATTTGATTCTAAAGTGAATTAGGGTGTAATTACTCTCCAAAGCTTCCTATAATCATTCCAATCCAATTATAATCCTCATTTGACGAATCTATATTCATACATGTCATTTCTACAGTGTCGGGAAGTCACAGTGAACAATGAGCCTGGCGCCCTCTGCATCCGGAAACCATGGCCAGGAATAGCAAGAACCATATATGGCAATCACAAACGCTACCTGGAGACGTACCTGAGTCCGTACCCAGGTGAGTTCAATAAAGGGTCATATCAGGTCATGTCGGGTCATTATAGAGTCATATTAGGCTACAAAGAACCATGGCCAGGGATAGCAAGAACAGTTTATGACAACCATGAGCGTTACCTGGAGACATATCTAAGCCCATACCCGGGTGTGCTCAGTATGTGTCATATCGGGTCATGTTGGGTCATGTCATGTCATATACCATGGCCTAGTAAAGCAAGAACAATATATGGCAATGGTCGGTATGTGAACCCCATACCTTGTGTGTTCCACAGTTTTATCTCCTATCTACTAGACCACACCTCTACAATTCCTGTTCCAATTGCTAACTTATTGTTCCTACCCTTTCTCCAGGATTCTATTTCTCTGGTGATGGTGCAGTCCGAGACGATAAAGGTTACTACCACATCACAGGTAGAATGGATGATGTCATCAATGTCACAGGTCATCGTCTAGGAACAGCAGAGGTCGAGGATGCTATGGTGAGGTCCTTTCATTAACAATTTAAATAGATCAAGGTAATATTTTCTCAAGAAAGTGTTATGTCAGAAATTATTAATTACTTGGGTCCAAATATCTATTGATGCTAACTGTTCTCCAATATGATTATGCTTATTCTTGTAATTGCGAATTTTCGATACACATGATTTCATGACTCCATTTAAAACTTTACTGTATTACTTCAAATGTTTATATTTCCATATTAGATGAATTGCTTAATGTGTTGATAGTAATGGTTTGATTGTGCAAAAACATCCAGAACATCAGGTTCTTCCATTTAATACTAAAGACTTGTATACATATATTTTGTTATGATGAATGACAGTCAGTTATATACCTTTGTTCTTCTTTCTAGGATGAGCATCCTGCCGTAGCGGAGACAGCTGTAGTGGGCTACCCGCATGACATTAAAGGAGAAGGTAAGAATGACAATGTAAACAATCATCAAGCACCTGAGGACTAGGAGATCAGTGAAAGTCACTCAGAAGTACAGTTCCCTTCCAGCATACTCTCTTTTCATTTCTTATTCGGGACTTTGAATTGGAATAGTTTCTCTCCTGTTCTTGTGCCGCTTTTATGATCCAGTAATAACCTGATGAGAGTTAATCTAATTTATATGTGTTATGCAACCCAAACATTTGGAATAGACAAATTTTCAAATTAATCCCAAATCATAAACTACTCCTCCTGAAAGAAAATCATATTTCTTTATATTAATATTTGCATTGTATTCAGTGTAAGAAGTAGAGTGTATTCATGTAGACTTTCATTCTTGATGATATGAATATGACATTCTCAGTGTTGGGGGAATGAATATTTTGCTTTAGTTATAGCATTCTGTCTCAAAACTGCTTGTCATATGCCAAGAGCGAGAAGAACTTAAGCATATCTCACGTTGGATGGAGTCAAAGTCCTGGTACTCAACATTATAGAGTATTCTTGAAACTTGACCATTTACAGGTGTGTATGCATATGTGACTCTGAAGGATGATGTGACAGAAAGCGAAGGAGATATCATCAAGGAATTAAAGGCTCTAGTCAGACAGAAGATCGCTGCTTATGCTGTTCCTGATATCATCCAGGTAAGAACTTATTGATATGGTCGCAAAGGACTTTCAAGAAATCCACTCTTGGGTTATAACGGTAGCCTAATCCCCTATTGAAGTGGGTGAGCCTTAAAGTCACTTCCACTATAATCAAGACTAACTTGCTATAAATAAGATATTTGAAATGGCCCTTTTAGTGGAGCTTTTGCAAGTCTTCGAAATGACATTTACATAACTTATATACAGATCAGACAATGGTAGATGCTCAGGTCGTGTCCATGGTTTTGAAAGTGTCAAGCTTATAATGTTAACATATTGCTTACCGGAAGCAGAAGGATCCTGTATTAGTCCTAAGGGAATCTGAGAATCCAGGAGTCAATGAGTTAAACCTTTTTAGGCTGAACTCATCACCATCCTAAAGATGTTTCAAACTGGGGGCATACATGACACACTGGTTTGTTCTGGTTTTTCTAAACGGTGTCATCTTTATTATCCTGCATTTATTGTTACATTAAGTGGTTTGCTGATATCATTCTGTTGATTTGTTCCTTGACCAGATCTGTCAATTTCTAGGCTTTTAAAGTTCAATGCATCTCAATATTTAAATCTCTTTATAGATCACTCCAGGACTACCGAAGACACGCTCTGGTAAGATCATGCGACGTGTCCTCAGGAAGGTGTCAGCTGATCAGAGCGATGAACTAGGAGACGTGTCCACCTTGGCTGATCCTTCCATCGTAGAGATCATCGTAAAGAACCATGATAAAGTGGCCAAGAAATAGAGTTGCCTAGCTGAGAATTTGAAGTGTTTTTAATACTTTAAGCATCAACAATTGATGTGGTGCCCTCTGTGGTTTGAGGCAACACTTGGTCTTGGATTTTGCAAAGTGCACAGTAACCATGGTGACAGTATCTTGTTTGCTGAGAGCCAGAAGGGCCTTAGTTCATGTCCTTTTCCACAAAATTAACACCTTTTTGGCTCTCAACAAATGATATTGGTTTGCTCTATGTTCTGGCAAAGCATAGCAAAAATGTAAGGTTTTGTGCATCATTCTCTGATTAGCACATCCCTTTACTTACCAGAACCTGTGGGTGTTTGAACAGGATCTTAACTGAACTATCAATACACAAAGTGGTTACCTAATGTATGTTTCTGCTTAACGAAAGCCAGTGCCAAAATGTGAGCAGTCTAGAAAACTGTTTGATATGTGTAACTCCCTCCTCACCTCCGAATTGAGAACTCCTACTCACAGTTCAAGTCTCTGTTAAAAAAGTTTCTGTTCTCAACATATTAGTTTGTTTAATGATGTCTTACATTGTACTACCCTTATATAACTTTTATTACTGTAATATGCTTTGTATTATATTATTCTATTATTGCAAATTATGTCCTGAAATATGTTAAACTTTAACTTATATGTATTTTACTTTCTTTCTTGAATTACTTGATGGTCGTATGCCCACAATTATACAATTTTCACACAACTGTGCCAGGAGTGTCATTTTTGACAGACATGGCACATTATAAATGTTCACTATTATTATATTATATGAAGGCGCTGTCATAGATATTATCAGAGGAGTAACCTTTGATGCCGCCACTGAAATAGGTGTACATTTATATCATGAGAGCACTATAAATTTATCTGTAAGAAGTTCTTGAGATGTGTCGTAAAGTCTTTGCATGAATCCTTCAGACTTTTGGTCACAAGCAAGAGAGTTTTGCAGACTTTACAGTTTTTATAAAATCTATCTTCCATTTTCTTAGTAGAGAGATGTGAAGTATACTCAACACTGAAGAGGAGTTCTGTTTCATTGTTGAACTGCCTTATATATGTATTTCAAACCCAGGTAAGCTTGTGGCAAGCTTTTAACCCTGGCACTGTCATGAGTGATTTTTACAGACCAATTTCTTATTTCTTAGAATATTTTGTACTGAGAAAACGAGTCTTTCTTCTTTAATAGTCTGAAGTACGGTGGCTGATTTGATGTCGAGGAAAGAGGATGGCAGAAGAATTGTTAAAGCATTAATTTTGTGATGAAATTTGTTGCCGACACTTTTTCAATCATAAAAAGCATAAAATTAATCAGTTACGGTAAAGCAATTATAATCATACATTTATGAATTTTGTTTGAAAGCACAATTTGTATTTGAAATTATGCATGAATCATGTTTTTGAGCAAATTTTGTTCTAATGACCAAGTACAAAATGATGTGCAGCTTTAGCACCAATTACCCGGGTGTCGCAAATTTGCTCTCAACAGATTTGAAGGAAAAAAAAGTCAAAAAATGTTGGAGTGATAGGTTTTTGCGTTGCGTACACATGGCCCTAAATTAAATGTCAAGGGGGCGGGGCTGTTTTTGTTTTCTAGTTTTTGTTAATACTGTAAATAAGCCTATAGTGCATGTATATTATATCCATTTATTTGTTAAATAATCTTTTTTTATAGAAGATAAGTTTGTTATGACACAAAGGTACACATTATATTATAATTTTTCTTTATATTAGCGAGTCTTTAAAAAAAAAGATTAGTTAGTAGTTATTTAGTCTGTGTATTTTTTACATGTTAAAATTAAAATATATTTTGCTAGTTCGCCATGATTCTTATGTATCACTTTAACAGCTGTTGCTTGGTGAAACTGAATAACAAGTTGTTGCTCTTCTGGGGTAAAGGTTTAGCATAAATGAAATAGATTTATCAACTGCTATACTTAAGTATTATAAAATTAACAAGTTACTATTGTTCGCCTGTTATATATTTTTCACCAAATAAATTGGTACCTTCTCAGCTATGATTGTTCCCTTTTTGAAAAGCAAAGGTTTTGTTATTGAATTAAAATGTCTCTTCAACTAAAGCTTGGTGCATTATATTTGTGCAAGTTCGAAAGAAAATGGCTGCACCCATGTAATGCTATTAAAAAGGCATTACATCATGCCAAGAATATCTGTATTCATATATGCCTTTAATATTTTCATAAGGGATATTGTACATCAATAGGCAGAAATAAATTTCATCTTTCCGCATACCTAAACTATTCTTTTGGAGTGAGGTTTTCTTTAAAAATGACTTTCAAGAAACTTTAACTTATGGATCAAATCTAGCGTTGTGAACAAGTTATTTCAAAGCATGAATCCTCAGTTTTGCAATTTCGGTTACTTTGTTTATTCTCGTATGAAAAACATTAGTTTCCTAGTTTATACATATTTACCAAATACCAATGATGTATAAACAGCCAGATTGTTTTTGAGGTATGCTTTTTTTTATGTTGTTCACCACAAATTTAGAATTCTATAAAATTGTGAAAAAGTTTCCACAATTGATATCCGTTGTGGTGAGAATATTTACAGCTGCTGTATATTGTAGATATCTACAAGGGAAACAAGTGGGAAGTGAATTTGGTGCTTACAAGCATTGTTCTTAAACTTTCAGGAAGAGATCCTAATAATGGCATATCATGTCATGTCTGATGTCTTCCATACATTCCACTTATTTTTTTATGTCATTTCGTCAATTCATTATTTTGTTCCTACTTAATTTGATGTAAAACATCACTTTTATATTTGCTCTGCTCATTTGATAAATGAATTTTAAATTGCCAATTTTTATATTCAAATCTTTAGCTTAGACTTTAGATTACTTTATAGTTTTGCTTTTGTTAATATTACCTGTTTATGATTATATAATTAAAATAGTGTATTATTTGTTGATTACATGTACATGCAATGTACATGCTCACTTGTCTAGTGTAATATCGGTTGAAGTGTCAAATTTTAAAAATCCATCTATAGGATTATTATGTGATGTGAAGTTTGATCCAATTGTTTGACATTTTTATTATCATTTGCATGGTTAAAGTTTGAAAACTTTTTCATTTATACCTTTCAGAATTATATGTGTTTTAAAAGCCAAATCTTGTTCCATTAATGACAACATCTAATGTTTAATCTGTCAGTAATTGTTAAAAACCTATTAACGCCCTTCTGGCTCTCAACAGATGATAAGTTTGGATGATAGTAATCTTATTATTTTAAGAAGGTTAGTAAAGGATATCATTCCCTTGCTAGACATTTACAGAGTGTGTCTTTCTTTATCCAGCTTTGTTTTCCTTTCAACCATGTGGATGAGATTGTCAGTGCATGATTATATTTACATTATTTTTTTTTTTTTGTATTTGTCAATAAAGGATATTGATAATGTTGAATGTCAAACTAGATTTAAGGTAGAACAATCAAGATGCTAATACCCTATCATAACTTTACACCGATGTTATGTTGGATGGAGATGTAGTTTTAGATATTCTTTATTATCCGAGATTGGTATTTTCATGAAGCAATATTTTGAGAAACAATGCACAATATGGATACAGGTGATTATATACTCAGAATATGCTCCTTGTGTCTCATGTTGAGACAAAGAAATATAGCTTGAACAATTAAAATTTTGAGTGCTATTTTGTAAAGATGTGATTCTCAATCGTGCATTATTCTCATCAGTGTAGTGTTTCTATTGTGAAATTGAAGGAACTTTTGCTATTTTCTTTACTTAATATTAAAAAACAGATTTTGTCATGTAAGAATTTCCATGAACCCATTCCAGTATAATTTGAAAACTAGAGATTCAAGATTCAAGTTTTATCGTCCATAATAATACAGATTTTTTTCTTCTCATTGGTGTTACAAACAATATAAATATAAATGTGATATTGTATGAGTGCTGTGAGCTTGAAGGGTGTTAAGTCAATATTGAGCAAGTATGAGTCAACACTCTTCCAGTTCTCAGCAGACGTTACATAACAAGAACATGATCCTGAGTCACATCATAAATGCATGCATACATGATAGCAAGCTGATTTGAATAACAATACCGCAACTTCCTCTGAGCAAAAGAGGAAAAGAGAGACGGCTAGAACAAATGAGAGAAAGGAAGACAAAATGGGGACACAAGGCAGAAAGAAAGAAAGAGAGAGAGAGAGAGAGGTGGTAGAAACAAATCAGGAGCTGCAAAGATGTTTACATTTCTACTCAAAAGGATCGCTAGATAAAGCTAACTGCATGACAATATAAAGTACAAAATCTTCTGAGCACAGCTATCTGGTAATTGGTATAGTCCTACTTTTCCACAGTTTACATAGAACATAATGTTTTAGCAGTGTTATTCAGAAAATGATATGTTTTCATTTAATAGCTCTGATCTGACAATAGTGTTCAATACTGAAGCTTCCAACTCAAATGTGAAATTGATGAGATCCAACGCAGGGGGTCAGATTTTAAAAAACCTCTTGCATTTCATACTAAATTTGTGATTATGCGATTGGGAATGTTATGACCATGTATAATTGAATAGCAAACAATATTTTGTTTGAACAAACTGGGAGATGATTTTCCCAGATAAGCTAGTTTCAAAATAGAGACAGGTAAGATATGGAAATTGCGAACATTTATAATAAGTTCACTTGTTGGTAAATGGGACGTATAAAAAAGATGGATAGACGGGAGAGTCAAGGAGATAGAAAAAAGGAACAAACAAAAGAAAGACAGACATAAATAAATAAAGGAATGAATTAAAGAAAGATAGACATAAAAAAAGCATGGAAGAAAGGTGAGAAAAAAATGATCAAAACAAAATATTGCGACATTCCGGTAGCGCGTACTAAGTTAGCGCGTACTTAGTTAGTTCATACTTCTATGGAGTGCCTGTTGCAAACTAATTTACCCTGTACAGATTATTTTAATCCTTCAATGAAAAGTGTCCAAAAAATTAATTTTGCAATGAAATGGGAAGAAAAAGATAATATGAGTATGAACTGAATTTCAACAAAGTCTTTGGTAGATTATCTTTGTCATGAAGATTAAAGGAGGAAGATGAAACCTAGCATTCCATAGAAGTGTGAACTAAAATTCTTGTTTAGTCTGGACTTAGTCCCGGCTTAACTTATGAGAATACCACCCAATAACTTTTTCCAAGTTTAGCTTTATCATTTTTCATTTTTAATTTGTCTCCTCGAGTAGACCGTTGTATGATTCATGGAGTTTCTTTTATTTACATCGGCTGATGAAAATAAGAAAACGTAACAAGAATGGCTACACCTTCTCAAGTAAGTATACTCTTTGTTCAGTATTTCATCCATAGGTATACTACTTTATGAACTTTACACGCACCCGTGAACATGTCGCAATTTAATAAGTGTGGAACACACCAGCGCTTCACTGCTGCCATGATGCTGTCTCTGGCCTTTGGTGGCGGGGCCGGGCAGCGGGAGCTTCCCGGAGTAACTGCTATGCCACCTGGCCTTGAGCGCTACATACACGAGACTGTGGCATGGCTAGACCGAATTTTCCGTCTCTTTCGTTCGTTAGCCTCTTATTGGGGTAGGGTCGGCTCTCTCTTTAGAGACGGAAGCCGTTTATACACATGTCCTTGCTAACGCCACGGCCAGTCCTGGTCGTAGCGTTTTGCCCCCAAAATCCCCCAAAATGTCATTTTACCTCGAGCATGTTATATTGTAAATTAGGCCTAGATCTAGGCTATAATAAATCAGTTCCACTTACCAACTTGACTGAAATAATCAGTTTAATAGTCCCTTTTTAGGAAATTATGGGTCAAAATCGAAATCCATTTTGAAAATCTTTTTCAACATGGATTCCGATTTTGACCCATAATTTCCTAAAAAGGGACTATTAAACTGATTATTTCAGTCAAGTTGGTAAGTGGAACTGATTTATTATAGCCTAGACTAGGCCTAATTTACAATATAACTAGACCGAAAGCTTCAGTCTCTATAATCGTCGGTTGTTCCACTGAGACTACGTCTGGCTCCACTAGACCTCCGGTTATAGAGACAGAACGATCGCCTATGCCAGCCTATGTTGAACTTATTCCGCTAGATTTTAGCCGCTAGGCCCCTCCCACAAACTTGCCACGGCCGTATTGTTATGCCCCCAAAATCCCCCAAAATGTCATTTTACCTTGTTCATTTCCAATTTTAAATTAGGCCTAGGCTATAATACATCGGTTCCACTTACTAACTTCATTGATATAATCCGTTTAATGGTCCCTTTTAAGGAAATTATCGGTCAAAATCGACATCCATGTTGAAAATCTTGCAAGCCGTGTTTAACTCTCGCTGCCGTCAATCTCATCCTTTCTAGTCTACGCCGAAGGCAAAATGATTATGAAGGAAAAACTGTGCTAACGCCATTACGAACGTGTAGATGGCGCACAGTTTTTCCTAGCAATGCAAAAAACAAAAAAAAATCCGCGTAGTAAAATACCCCCAGTTCACCATCTACTTTTTGGGTTGTCCGTCTTCCCAAGAATTTATCGTTCTTATTAAAGGGATCGTTTAACAATGTTAAATCTGAGATACACGGCCCTACGTGTTATCAGTGTCTGTGATATGGTGTAATATTGAAGCCCTACAAAAATTGCGCTTCAAAATGATCAAGAAGTGCCTCAAAAAAGTAAAAATCTTTGAGTGACCTGTTTTACCATACTCGTTTTCCCCAATAGAGTGTAGTGTTATGAAAACCGTCAGGCGAACGATTTTCAAAATTTGTAATTCCAATCATAAATATCTTGATAATCAGACAGGCGATCGGCTTGTAAAAGTCATGGGGTTCCTGACTGACCTAAAGGTTTATAATTATCATTGCATCATGAGCTAAATCCTGAATTTTGTTTCAGAATCTGAGACAAAGTTACTGGATCCCTTTAACATGAAAGTCTCTGTCTTGCGTCAATGGGAAATGCATCATGAAGTTTTATCACAGAATTTGTTTTACCCATCACCAACGCAGGACGTGTCAAAATCTCTGTGGTGTGACGTAATATTATGTATTGACTTTGCCAATGAACTCGAACTTAAGTTGTGCTTAGGTTAAGTAGGCCCTCTCTCACTTACATTTGAAGCCACTCGAGCGGATAAGCCAATGAGAGCGCGTAAACTCACTGTACAGCACTCAATGCGCAAAGTTCTTCATGCATCACTGCATATTCTTAGGCGAAATAAAATTCGGGTTATTTTTCAAGATGGCCGCCAACATTTTTTTTTTTTTTTTTTTTTTTTTTAAATCAGAAATAGATCTACATGTATTTTAGCAGTGTATTTCATGTTTTTTTCTTTAAAATAAAAATGGGAGGCGGCCCCCAAAAATTAAACGGGCGGGGATGCTAAACATGTATATTTTTTTTAATGGCCTTATGCCCCGATGCATTGATTTTGGAAATGTTTTGTAATGTGTAGTAAATCTTGTTTTTATTTCCAATGTTCTAAATTTAGATGGAGTTTGCTGTACAGATGACGTGCAATAGTTGTGTAGAAGCCATCCAAAAATCTCTTGATGGGATAGAAGGTAAGTTCGGTGCTGATTATATATGTTCTTTTTTTGGTCATTGTGATGTCATCTTTTGCTTCCAATTTTCAGTCAGAAGAAAAAATGTATCGTTTGATGAGCAATTCAAACTTGTTTTTTCCTGTGTCTCTTTATTAAAAAAGAGTGAGAAAATCAAATTTTTTTTAAAACAAAGTTTACAAACCATTATTGTGGCAACGGACAGAAAGAAAACACATTTTCAGCAAAATAATGGCCTTACCCTTGTTAATCACTATGACTTACTTTCAAAGATTCTTTCAATATTTTTTTCTCCAGGTATCCAGGGAGTTGATATCAATCTCTCTAAGGAGCAAGTGGTTGTTACTACAGTTCTGCCTACAAGCAGAGTTATAGAGCTGTTAGAGTCAACGGGTCGTAGAGCTGTCTTAAAGGGTCAGGGGTCAAATGAGACAGGTGAGTAACAGAGAGGAATTGCATCCAACTCTTATCACTAGAAATAGTAGATAAAACAATAGAATACAATCAATACAGGAATATATATATATATATATATATATATATATATATATATATATATATATAAGGACAGCTTAAAAGAGACAAGAAATTTGCTTTTCCCAGGTAGGAAGTCATACATGTACATGCTACTGTAGTACATATTTTAATGACACACATTGTTCACAATGACTTTGTAACCTACAGCATTATGTAGAGGACATTTAAACTCACATTTTAATACCACAATCAGGTTTGTGGACATGCAGCGATTGGAGGCGGTCGAAATGTGGTGCTGGCGCAAATTGCTAGGTGTGTCTTGGAGGAACAGAGTTTCGAATGAAGAGGTGTTGCATTGACCTCAAGAAAGGCAGGTGCTGATTCAAACGATTAGAGAGAGACAGAAGAAATGGCTTGGACACATAATGCGGCATGATGAGGGCTTGATGCTCAGATTCATAGAAGGTCGTATTCATGAAAAGAAGAAGAGGGGAAGACCTTGTAAAGGCTTTCTAGACAATATAATCACACAATGTGGAGCAACAGGGTATGAAACGATGAAACGGTTGGCTCAAGACCGAGGAAATTGGAGAGAAACTTGGAGAGACACTTGATATAGAATTATGAATGGGTCACTGAACCTGTCATAAACTGACAGATCACTATTGATGAATCAGGTTTGTAGAATATGTATACCGGTATTCACTAAGGTTTCCAAAATAAAAAGACAGGTATCCTCTGCTATATTAGGGAGCTGCCACCATGACGTACATGTATTTGGGCTGTACTCCGCCGGTACCACAGTCTTTACAGTGACCAGTTTGTTGAAGTTGACTATGGGAGGATATGCGTGCAATTCGCAAGGTTTACATACATGGATCAAGCCTCAAGCTATTCTCATTTTCTGAACCGTATACACCTGTTCGAATGCATATAGCTGCTTTTTATACTTTAAAAGAATTCATAACTTCCTTATTAGTTATCCGATTATACTCAAATTTTTGTTGCTATGTTTCTCTTGTTTTTCTGCATCTATCAAAAGCAAATTATTTTTGGAGTGGACTTAAAGGTAATACAAAGTTTTGGTATGGGGTCATGAATTTGGTTCAAATGAACATATTGGAAGCATATGCGATCCTACAATATTCAGTGATCGTTGTCGCGGTTATGAAATTGTAAATAATAAACTCTTTATGTTGTTTAGCTCCCTCTCAAGGTCAAGATATTAATTAAGCTATAAAACAATGTTTCTGGTCTAAAATCGACTGATTAGCTATTCCCGTTTGGAAATATTATATCACGACACAACTACATATTCTGAAATTTTCATGGTCGCAGCTTCCAATGTACGGCCGTAGGCAATATTTGAAATTAATCAAAATTTACCGGGAGCACCGGTAAATTTTTATATTCAATTTTTCTCAAAAGCAGAAGTGTTTTAGGGGCTAAATTTTCTGGTGCTTATAATACATCCACAGGGGCATCAGAATATATTAAAATGGTAAAGAATCACTATCCACCCAATTTTCAAAATTTCCCAAAACTTTGTAAAGGCTTTAACCTTACCTTTAAGTACTATGGTATTGATATCCCACCAGGTGCACACTTGGGAGCAGCTGTAGCTATGCTTGAGACAGGAGATCCTGTGAAAGGAGTGGTTAGATTGCTGCAGGTAGCTCAGGAGACCTGTATCATTGATGGTACCATTGATGGGCTCTCACCTGGTGAACATTCTCTCCGCGTCCATCAATATGGGGATATCTCGGATGGATGTGCAAGGTGAGGATGAAATGAAAGTAGTATACATCTAGTAATCTTACTGAAGTAGTATTTAAAGATATAATAATAATAGAGAACTGCAGCCCTGGAAAGAAAATCAATTTTAGACCCAGCTTTTTTTATAGCCTTGTCATAATGAGCAGAAAACTGACAACAACAAAATTCATTGCACTACCCTGAAAAGATAAGATATTAAAGCACTTTAACCATGTTATGATCATATTTTATTTCCTTCTTGTCACAAGTATGTAACCTGTCTACAGAAAATTGCTACACGTTTTCTTTAATAACATTTCCACAATAATTTACGTTCTTATTCTGGTAGCCATTTTCTTTGAACTCTTGCACCTATTGAGGGAAGGTGTAAAGTCGATAAACCTTGTCTTATCGTTATATTAATCTTTGTTTATTTATTTACACACTCATGCCTGCTGAGGAATTTATGGATTCATAAATCTTGTTGTATTTGTATATCTCTTACACATAAGACTGACATCATAAAATGGATAGAAATTCCTGTGCCTATTTGATGTTTCTTGAAACTCATTCAACTTTCCGATGGATTGCATATTAATAATATGTGTGTTTAATCCATTGCAGTTTTCATTTTTTTGTTCCAGTTGTGGCAACGTATTTGATGCAAGAGGTTTCCTTCATGGGGAAAAAGCTGGAAAGGAAAAGGTGAAGCATAACCAAATGTAACTCAAGATACCATATATCTACACCATAATAATTTTACCATATGTTTACCATATTTGATGTATTTCAGAAGTAAGAAAGGGCATAGAGGTACTTTTGATATTACTTTGCAAAATTCATTCTTTATGAACAGCTCTTTACCTTTGATTGTAGGGAAAGTCATGCTGATGAATATATACAAGCTAAAAAGACTCATCAAGACTTCATTAATGATCTAGTTCAAATTTCTTGTAGACTTATTTTTAATCAAGCTAAAAAATTGTCTTTCTGTCTGCTGCTTTTTGTGGTAAGAATCTTGCAAAATTTCCAGAATACTTGCACAGCTCAGAGGCTGGTCTGACCATGATCAAGAATTCATCAAGTTATCTGTTGAACCCTTTCCTCCTCCTCCTTATCTTGAAGGTACAGTCCTCAGACAAGAGTACCTGTGTGCTACATTGTGTGGAGTGCAATGTTGCAAATATTGTTATCATACATGTATTATTTTGTATTTATTTGCATGTTACAGGCAGCAGGAGATCTTGGCGTGATTGTCGCTGGAGACAATGGCAGATCAACGTTCAGAATGGAAAATGGTCAAGTCAAGGTACTGTATATATGTATGTGGTGGAAAAAAAATTGAACCATCAGCCTACTGGTATTGCAAACTATGCTATCTAACTACTACAAAATGTAACAAAAATGGGAAAATTTGATTTTGCTTCAAAAAGTATGAATTGTAACATTGTCCATATCAAGATTCCAAATTTTCATGCAAGTTTTATAATAAATTTATTTTTTAATGCTGCTATTAGGGTGTGCATGAGGATGATTCACACTTTTAAATTTGCTGTGTTTAACCCCTATATTAGTTTATCCAAAATCTTGTTTGAAGTGTTATTTCACAGTGTGTGCGATCTAGCCCGGGGGGGGGGGGGGGGCTTTAGAAGCCCCCCCCCCTTCGACATTTTTCGCAATAATTTTTTAACGCAAGAAAATCTTGCACTGAAAATTTGTGACTTTTTTCTTTCAACTCCTTCGCATCTTTTGAAGAAAAATCGGACCTACCATTATTAAGTCAAGTGTCCTTTTGTCTTTGCATGTCAGCCCGAAAATCGCTCATTTTTGTGATTTGTGTACAAAACATATGGAAATCTCATTTTTCAAATAAAGAGATAAACATTAGTTATTTGCTCTTTGTTCATAGTTTAGGTGTTTATTTTGGGGTCAAAATAGTTGAATTATAGTTGGAAATGAAATTAAACAACATGAATAATAAATTACATAAGTTAAAAAAAACAAAGAAATACATAAGAAATTATCAAAACAATAGATGACATAAGTAATAACCTGGCTCTTCCAATTTTTTGGCTGTATTATTATTCCAAATGGTCTAAATAATATATGTAGTGAAAATTAATGTTTAAATATGAAGAATATATGATTTATGGATAAAAATGTGAATGTTAATACCATATTTGCATTAATTACCATAAATATGCAAATGAGTGAATATTTCAAAAAAATTGAAATTACCATAGTATTCTATACACTTCACTTGACATGCATGCAAATTTTTGCGGCGATAGGTCATTTCACGGCCGAGATCATGGGGGGGGGGGGGCCTTAGAAGCCCCCCCCCCCGGGCTATGCAGTTTCAAAATAGCCCGGGCTATATAGGGTTTTAATAGAAGAATATCAAATGCTAGCAGCATCATTCTCTCTTTGAAATCTCTCTTTGATGGTACATATACTATCACGAGAATGATATCACAAATAGCATGCTCTGATGCTGATGCTTTCATATATCAACAATATATAAACCAGTAATGTCATCAGCATTTATTTTTTTTATTTTTATTTTTATTTTTATTTCTTTATTTGGGGGGGGGGGGGGGTAAATATATTTCATAGATTCTCTGGAGTATGCAAAGTCAGTGCATGATGGAGTCCCTACCTAGTAAAATATGAAATATCGGATCATGTCAGGTGGAAAGTTGAATTTTGACAATTTGATTATTTTTTCTGTCTAGTGAAGTTTTCTATCTGCTTATTTTCACTCTGGTTGCCCCCTCCCCCTAAGCACACACAATTCTTTTCCCTTTATTTTATCATCCATCTCTGGTATTTTGATATCTTGTATTAGGTTTGGGATGTCATTGGTCGATCCATGGTTGTTGGAGCAGGTTCTGATGTCACAGCAGAAATTGGAGCTAAATTTGGTCTTGGGTAAGTTCTTGATACATAAAAGCCTACAGGGTTATTGTGGTTTAGGTATTACCCTCATTTGCATCCTATACTGTTTCAGTGCTAAAATATTTGTATGTGGTACCTGGTTTATTTTAATAAACTGAGATGTTTTCCAGTTACGAGTAAGTTTGTGGAAGTTATAGGTTAACAAACAATGGAAAAGACTCTGTTATTTACCAAAGTTGTGGATTTTATATAAATGCGATGAATCCCTAACAGCTGTAAAACTGTGAGATTAACACATTGAAATAAAGATCTTGATTGGTAATAGGCACTTTTCATCTCCGTAGTATCTCCTGCAGAGAGAGTTTTGAGTTTATGTATTAACAAATATATGTGAATTGGAGTGACTATTTTTATCTCACTCATCTCTCTTATTTCTGCTGCTCCCTATCGTTCTCATTCTCTCTTTCTCAACCCTCTTTGCTTTCTCTTTCACTCAGAAATTGTCCATATCCCTTTTTGCCTCCCTGTATGTCTCCTTCATCCCTCCCCCTTCTTTTGGTAATTCTCTAAGCATTGTACTCTCTGTTTTACCAATATATCTGTTGTGTCTCTCTACTATGTAGGATTGCATGTGGAATCATTGCTCGATCAGCAGGATTGTTTGAGAATACCAAGAAGATCTGTGCATGTGACGGCATCACACTGTGGGATGAGAGAAATGTACCCATTGCTGGTAAGGAGAGGAGCGAGTACGCAAGGAAAAAAGCTGGGAAACTCTAGCTCATCGGTCATTAATTGTTTGTATTTGTTAACAAAGTTATTGCTCAGGTAGAGACTGTCGAAGTATAAGATAAATGATGTATCAAATAGGGGATAATATGTGATATGCACTGAATACGCTTTCTGTCTATGAGCCTGCGAGTCCTTTGTCAGCCTTTGAAGGTATCAGTTTGTCAGTTTCTTTTCAAATATGACTGGAATATCTCTCAGTTTGGGTTATTCAAATAAACTTCTGCAATTCACTTCCGTTAAGTAACTCTGCCGGTGAACTCACTCAGAAGATTCATCTCGTCTCAGTACTCAGTACTGATCCATTCACATTCACTTCCTAGAGTAATAAGGTGACACGGCACAAAGGGGTCAAATTGGTATCCCTTTTATCCACAAATCTAATCAATTTGATAACTTTCACTCAAATTTTAAGCAGCTTCTCTCTCTCTACTACTTTCTCGAAAGAAGTTCAAATGTCCGCTTCCGATATTAAACACAATTTAGAAATTGGCCTCACAAGCACGCTATTCCTTGTCTTAATCTCCAACCTACGGATGAAACCCATTTTGTCAGGCTGGGTTTTCATTTTCCATTCGTCCCTTGCCATTGTGTTGTCGCTGAAGGTCGTTCCCACCCCTCAGCGAATCTTGTTTTCCCCTTTTACCGTCGCTTTACCGTCGCTTTGCCGCCAAAATTTTGTAATTTTCAAGTTGCAATTGTGCAAATATTAGTCGCATAGGACACATGTACATGTATGTATCCTCCATTTAATATCAGATTTGCACAACTCCCATTAAATTGTGTTTGTCAGGTGTAGTGGAAAAGTCAGTTACAATAATGTTCTTTATTTAAATCATATTTATGCTCATGTGCAATTTTCTATTTTGAATACCTTTATATACATGTGATGTATTCAATATTCTAGAAAGTCAGTTTTGAACTCAGAAATAGGTATAAAGCTATGGAATATAATTCAGTGGATGCTTGTATTTGTTTGTGATTGATTACTTTTTTTTTCATTCCCTTTTGATGTGCAAGGTTATGAAAGGGTCTTAGTATCTTCGACGTGTACGTGCTACATTTCTGTCCTATTTTGTATGTTTGAACTCTTTAAAAAAAAATTGTATTTAATATCAGTCATTTTTTAATGAAACAACATTAGTTGTTTTGCTAAAATAATTATTGAGTATGTCACTCCTAAAACTCATTTAAAGGACACTTTAAATGAGTTTTAGGAGTGACATACTCATTTAAAGGACACTTTGTCTTGTATTATAAAGCATTTTATAACTTTATACAAAAAGGATGATGTTTGTTCATTAATATTGGAAACAAGTGAACATTATTTCAACAGTAATAAAACTCCTAATTACTAATTGTGCACCCTTTGCGCATAGTACAGAAGCATGCTATATGAACTTGTCCATAAAATGCATATTCCTTTTGTTTAACATCAGTTATTTATACGTAATATACATGGTGCATATGATACTATATAGTGTATAAAGTGGATGAATGCTTATAATAGCTTAAATGAGGATGTGACACCAAATTATTTGTATTTCTCTAGTGACAAACAAGGCCAATTTAATAAGGGAGTGATACAGGTTCACGTCCTCTCCAAAGCCAGTTAATATTAACTAAATAGGCAAACAATGTTTCTATATATATATATTTTTATTATACTAGGAATAGGACTATCAAATAAAAACATTCTCATTCATAAGCAATGTCACTGTACACTGTAAATACATGAAAGAAAACAGAGGTTATGAGAATTGTTTACAACAGTGATGAAAGACAGTTCAATGGAGTTTATGATTGTATAATTTGTTTTAAACACTTATTCTGCTAAAAATCATGTTATTGCTTTTTATTTGTATTTACATTGCACGTAAATGTTCCATTGTGGCATAGACTATGCATTCCTATAATATGTGTACTGTACAAAGAGATTCCATTATTGATATACATCAGTGCATTGAATTGAATAGTTATGAATTATCATGGCATACATCGTGTTAAATAATGCAAAAGATTACTCTTTTTTATGAAAAATTATCAACATAAATGAGGATCAGTACTTTTAATATCTGTGTCACTTTTGTTTGTTATTCAATGTTATTTGTAATATCGTCTTGAGTGTTCAGGAGTGGGGAAAAACAGCTAGAAAGTAACTTATCATGCTATGCATTTAAATAGTTCTGCTACCTGAATTAAGAAAATGAATACACAAAATCCTGAATACATTTATGAAGGGTGAGAGAGGGGAAATGAGAAAAAGTTAGAGGAAAAAAGAGAGGGGGTGTGAGAAGGAGAGGAATAAATAGAAGAGGGGAGAAAGAGACAGAGAGAGAGGGAGATAGATGGACAGATATTGCCAAAGGAGGAATAGGGCAGAAAATAGTGTGTATGCGAATGCCACGTAGAATAAGATGTGATTAAAGTGGGTTAGAGAATATATCTTTATAGAAAAGGAGAGATGGATATAACATTAGTGACGCATATAGAGAAACCTTGTCAGTGATTGCATAATGTACTAGAGGGACCGAGTGAGTTTATTGATTGTTTGTTTAGCTTGAGTGGAAGGAATACATAAAAGGAAACTGTTGAAGATTAAAGCCTAACATTCACAAGGGCACTTCGTATCAGGGGTCCTAGTTATCCAGGTTCCCTCAAAGCATTGCTTCATCCAGTGTTCTCAAATTCTATCAGTCGGCATTGAAATATCACGACGGATGTTTTTAAAACCAAAATCACACGAATAAAAAGGCGTAACATGGGAAAAGTGTTACCTTGAAAACTGAGAATGCTGAATTGAGGTACCGTCTCTTGCTCTCCACCCCTTCCCCCTTTCAGACTCTCTCTCTCTCTCTCTCTCTCTCTCTCTCTCCCCCTCTCTCTCTCTCTCCTTCTCTCTCTCTCTCTCCTTCTCTCTCTCTCTCTCTCTCTCTCTATCTCTCTATCTCTCTCTCCCTCACCCTCCCCCTCGCTTTCTTGTAAAGCCTCTTTTATATGATATCCAAATTATTTTTGCCCAGCAAATTGAAAAATAACATCGCATAAAGGAGTAAAAGAGGAGAATCGGATGAAATGAAATCGCTAGCAATGATCTGACCTGGTAAAATTTAAATATATATATATATATATATATATATTATGGAGAAAGAGAGAGGGGAGACAGAAAGAGAGAGAGAGGGGGGTTATCCTCATATTCTACAATAAAGTCACCCTATACCCGGTACTGGATGTTGCTATTGTAGTTCAGAACTTAATCTTTTGAAATCCAACACCATGGGTGAATCGAGTGTTGACTGTTGGATTGCCTTCTAGATCTAGGTCTAATCTAAGTTGTATATCTTCAAGAGCTGTTTTATTCTGGAAAGGCCTCAAACCAATAGTTGAAGCAACAAGTCAGTGCAGATTGTGTGCAGATGATGGCTAATTTTTACTTGTTTATTTCACTATTTTTTCATTGAAATCCACTGCATGGTATATCTCAAGTCATATAGGTGCTTATATCTGTTTTTGAAGCGTAGATGATTTAAGACAAGTGAGATTTAGGCGGATTATTTTTGCTGCCTTCACCATGACATCAGTTTCTGAATCCAAGATGGCCGAAAGGAGTGTACCCAATGCAAGTGACAGAGCAGTCAGACCGAAGTCAACAAGAAGTGCAAGTAAGAGTACAGCATCCATAGATAATGTAAGAGATACAAATTCTGCTGAAAATAATAAAATGGAGAAAGGTGACAAGAAACTGGCATCTAAAGGTAGATCTAGTCCAACAAATCAGCGTAGTAAGCTTCTACCTGACCAAGATAGTCCAAGAATTTCAAGACAGGTGCAACTAGGCCTACCAGGAAAAGGCAAAGGGGAACTAGAAGGCAAGGGAAAACAAGAAGATAACACAGTTTCAGATGATTGTCCCTGTATTAAATGTGGTGGTGTAATCCATGATGGTGTTAAAGCCCTCCAGTGTGATTTCTGTGGTGAATGGGTTTGCTTGCTCTGTACTGCATTGCCACAGCAAGTGTATGATGCTGTTGTTGATAATGTGATTCCAAACTTTATCTGGTCATGCGATACCTGTGTCACAGCAGTACCTACTATTAAAAACCTTAGTAGAATGCTACAAGATGTAAAGAGTGAGCAAGGGGAAAGCAGGAAACAGATGAATGAGCTACATACTAGAGTTGACAGTATTGAGAAATCTCTCGATGACAAGATCCAGACTGCTATTGATGACTATAGAGACCGTGAGACAAGGAAATGCAACATTATTTTACATAATGTACCAGAGTCAGATTGTGAACAACCTAAAGAAAGGAAGGAAGAAGACGAGTCAATAATAGTCACTATGCTGAATGATAGTCTCAATCTAGCCGAGGTGAAGTTAGAATCAGTAATAAGACTGGGGAAAAAGTCAGAGGGCAGAAATCGTTTGACCAAAGTCACTCTCGACTCTGTCAAAAGTAAGCGAGAAATACTTAATGCAGCAAAAAACCTCAAAGGCATAGAGGAATGGAGTAATATTTTCATCACACCAGACATGACACCCAAAGAACGGGAAAAGAACAAAGAGCTTAGAGAAGAGCTCAAGAGGCGCAGAGAGAATGGTGAGGAAGGAATAGCAATCAGGCGTGGCAAAATAGTACCGATTACGCAACAGCACAAAGACAGGAAGATTTCAGATGGAGCGAAGAGAGGCCCCTCAGCGGACCAGACTTTTCGTCAATAGTAGCTCTAAGTTTGACCGTAGAAATAGCAACAAGTTCTTAGACTTAGGTGGAAGAAGTATTCCACATCCCAAAGTTCATTTGAGTTTAAGAAATGATAGCCCTGGAAGAAGTAATCCAGTTAACGCTCACAGAGAAAGAAATTCTGGAAAAAGTATTCCAGTAAACAATGGAAGTGAGAGATGCTTTGGAAGAAATAATCCAGTTAGCAGCAAAGATCTAATAAACTATGGAAAAAGTAAGCTAGTAAGGAAAAGTATCCTAAAAAGTAATCAAGCTGGCAGAGAAGAGCACGTACCAAGATATTCTGGAAAAGATAATCCAGCAAAGTGTACATCAAGTAACTCTGGAAGAAGTAATCCAGTCAACGCTCCAAGAGGAACAAATTCTGGAAAAAGTATTCCAGTAAACAGTGGAAGTGAAAGATGCTTTGGAAGAAATAATCCAGTAAGCAGAAATGAACAAATTAACTGTGGAAAAAGCAAGCTAGTAAGGAAAAGCATCCTAAAAAGTAATCAAGCGAGCAGTGAAGAGCACGTACCAAGAAATTCTGGAAAAGATAATCCAGCTAAGTGTTTTTCAAGTGAACGTGGAAGAAGTAACTCAATTAATAGAGAATCATTAAGAAGTGAACTACCTGGAAAAAGTAATCCAGTAATCAAGGAAGTACCAAGTCACTCTGAAAAAGTTAATCCTGCGAGGAAGTTTTCCTCAAGAAGCCATGGAAGAAGTATTCCAGCTTGCAACGAAGTTCAAAGTGACTCTACCCAAAGAAATACAAGTGACTCTACCCAAAGAAATACAAGTAACTCTGGAAGACGAGATACAGAGAGTGGTAAGACAGAAAAGGATCAACCAAGTCCCGAACAGAAGTCAAAGTTAAAATGTATGTACACAAACGCTGACAGCCTCATGAACAAAAGGGATGAATTTGTAGCCGCAATCGAACTCAACGAGCCTGACATTATCGCAGTTACAGAGGTACTACCAAAGTATAAAGGCAGAGACATTCAGAAGGCAGAGCTGTCACTGGAAGGATTTGATTGCTGTTTTGGGGGACAAGGCAGAGGTGTATGTATCTACACAAAGAAATGGCTGAAAGCCATTCAGGTCGATGACCTCACTGATATGAATTTCAAGGAAAGCATCTGGTGTGAGACCAGATTATCAGACGAAGATAACCTGTTGATTGGTTGCGTGTACAGAAGCCCAAGCTCATCAGAAGAGAATAATGCTCATCTGACGAGCCTCATTAATGCAGCCTGTGCTAAGAAGTTCACACACCTATTGATAATGGGCGATTTCAACTTTCCAGAGGTGGACTGGGACTCATGGACGTCATCAGCGGGCGCTACCCACTCAAGTAACAAATTGCTGGACTGTCTACAAGATAACTACTTGTTTCAAGAAGTGAGATTCAATACGAGGTATAGAGATGGTCAGCAGCCCAGTCTTTTGGATCTGGTGATAGTGAATG